ATTTTTTCCCTTGCACTTCTAATAGCCACTTTATTTGGGAGAAATACCAATTCCTATTAAGGCTATCGTAGACAGATCCTAATTAATTTCCCTGATCTGGCTGCATCGGTCCTGTCTCTGCGCATGGCTGTGGCGTTACCGCTAATGAAACGCCAAGCCCGTAAGGAGCTCCCACCCTCTTTAATTTAGGGGAGCCATTAACAGCATTCTCCATCATCACGATTGCTGGGGCCTACTTCTCCTCCTCCCTGCGGTGAAACTTGAGAGAGAACTTGTGCAGCGAACTGCGTATTAGGAGGGCGTTAAAATTTTTCCATAGGAAGGAGGGAAGGAAAAGACCCTTGTGCCTTGGCCATCTGGAACTGATGGAGCAGGAATTTATGGGTCTTTGGATTCTCCCTTTCATTGCTTGTTTATTTTAAAAATGTTCTGGGGGCAAGATGGGCCTACCACAAACCGAGCTCTGGTACAGCTATGCAAAAAAGCGCTGAAGTGACAGCTGTGAAGATGGTGTGATGTGACGTGACCGAGGAAAGGAGGAGACTGGCGGTGGGCTCTGGTCGGTCCCCTGTCCACTGACCACAAATGAGCACACCAGAGTCTGATGGCACCCAGCTGAGGGCTGGGGAATAATGACTGGTTAGAGGGACTTCCCGTGTGCCAGGCTCAGTGACAAGCATGGACATCCCGCCATTACTGCCAATCCCCTTCTTCAGATGAGGAAACTAAGGCACGAACGAGGCAAGTAACTGACCAAAGTTACCCAGGGAGAGGATGGCAGAGCCGAAACTCGGGGGCCCACGCCCTGGCTGCAGGGCCTACAGCCCACCTGCTAGCCCCAGGGGACGGAGGGGTCTCTCCCACCCGGGAGCCTCCCCCCTGGGGGCTGCAAATCCCACACCTGGAAGGGGAAGGATTGCACCCTCTGATCTTGGAGACTTCCCCAGCTCTAGCTGGCCTTGATTGTAATCAAATTAACAGCATAAACAAGATTTATTAGGCCCTTAATTACCTTTGCAACACTGATCTGCATATGGACAATGTGCTAATCACAAACGGCTTTTTTAACCACTCATTAAAAACCTGGGAGAGAAGGCAGAGACACTTCACTGGCATCAACTCTAGGTCACTGCAGGGACTTGGAAGGTGTCCCACTGCTCAGCCTCTGGCCTGGGGCCCCGCCTGGCCTCCCCTTTCTTGCGTGGCACTCTGGACACCTGTGAGTACAGAGGGCAGCGCCACTGGCTGCCAGTGGTGAGGACAAAACAGGGAGACTCAGAGTCCAAAGACCTTCACAGACTGGATAATTAACATTCCTCCTCACACCCTTACCCTCACGGACGGGCTCCGGGCTACAGCAGCCTGACCCTTTCCTGACATTCCACATCCCCCACTGGCAGGGAACCACGAGGCTCAGAGAGGTCAAGGGCCTTGCTTGGCGGCACAGCCTCTGGCTGGAAGAACTCAGGGCCTGACTCACAGCCTGGTGCTGCGGCACCAAAGCTCTGCAGCCTGCAGTGGCCGTGACCATGACACCCGAGCTACAGAAACACTACGGTCGCCAGGGGTCCTCCAGGCACCTGCTGGGCTCCCCATTCCCTCCTCCTCTCCCCTTCTCTGGTCCCCAGGGCCTTCGACAAGGACCCCGAGCCTACAAACAGCCGACACCTCTGAGCACCAGATCCTTAGTGCCCCGGTGCACCCAAGCTCGCCTCTGGCCAACGCCTCCTCAGTGAAAAGGCATCCGGAGCTTCCTTCCTCCCGGTCATTCACTGAGATTGTTGAGGATGATGGATCGAAAGCTAACTGTGAAAGTTCTTGACTTTCTTTTCCATTTTCTTTCTTTCTTTCTCATTTGGGAAATTACATTAGGGACTTACAAGGTGAGAGACTCCTTTGGAATTTCCCTGGAAATGAGGGCTTTTCTCCCTCGGGAAATTCATAAAAGTTACAAGCAGACACCAGCCAACTTTTAATCACCTGACTACCATGTGTCCTCAGAACAGCCCTGGGCTTGGGGATGGGACTTGGGCTCTGGCCTTGTTCAACTGGTGATACTACTTTCACTTCCAACTGCCCCACTGGAAAACAGGAAACAGGGTGAGTGGATCAGATAGTAGATGACCCTCTTCCAGAAAAATCCTCCAAGTCAGGTTAACAACCAGATACCACCGTGTCAACCTCGAAGGACCAGTTGGCCGGCAGCAGAGCCGGATGCACAGCTTAACCTGTTCTGCCCCTACTGGCTGTGTGTTCTTGAGCAAGTCACATTCCCACTCTGGGCCCAGTTTCCCTTTCAGTTCTGCCATTCAGAGCCGAGGGTCCTGTCCAGAAGGCCTGCCACCCCACTGCTCTCTCGTGGAGGCCCGGTTCCACTGAACAAGGTCAGCTACCAACACTCAGCAAGTCTCCCGGCCCGCACGGCTTCCTTTCTCTGACAGGCCACCGAAGGCCCCAAATAAAATGCCAGACTGGTCCTCAAGCTGTCAGACCACCTGCTTTGCATTCTCTGTCACACTGCCGCACTTACAAGGAGCTGAAGCCACGGTGGTGCTGGCCAGTGGCTCTTCAGCCCACCCTATTTCTTGGAAAGCCGGTTTGAATTCATAGAAAGCACCTGCTCACTCTTAGCCCAAGTACTTCAAGGTCAAGGTCCCTTATCCTCTGGGCAGCCCCCAGCAGTCAGCCCTGCCCATCTTCCTCCTTTGGAACCCCAAGGCCCAGCCTGCCTGTCCAGTAACCCTAACCCTGCCCTGATGTGCCGGCTCCCGGCAGACACTCCTCCTCTCTATTTAACCCCAGGACCGAACAATCTCATGCCTTAGCTCAACTCCGCGAAGACCTGGCCGAGGGCTGGCCACGGGCCATCTCTGCGGCGCTCTGCGGCTTATTCGAATGATCACCATCAAGCAGGTCTCTAGTGAGGAGCTGAGGGGCTCCGTCCCGTTATCAGCAACAACTTTACTGAAATACTAGGAGAGGACAAAGCTGGGAAGCTCGGACGTGGGATGACGAGAGGCAGGATGATTCTGGAGGGATGGACGGCTGGGCCAGAATTAATCTGTTAATGCTTCGCAAGGGCAGCTGCAAAGTATGCTGCTGAGGTCAAATTCAGCCACGCCCCGTGCTCGGCGGCTGGTCTCAGATGAGAGGACCTGTGGCTTTTAGCCTAACCAGGAGCAGGAGGTTGGAAGGCAGATGGAGGTAGGTTTTGTCTCTCTAGAGCAGTGGGTTTTTTGTTTGTTTGTTTGTTTTGAGACAGAGTCTCACTCTGATTGGCCAGGCTAGAGTGCCGTGGCATCAGCCTAGATCATAGCAACCTCAGACTCCTGGGCTCAAGCGATCCTCCTGTCTCAGCCTCCCTCGAGTAGCTGGGACCACAGGCACGAGCCACCATACCCAGCTCATATTTTCTGCATGTATCTATATATATATTTTTAGTTGTCCAGCTAATTTCTTTCTATTTTTAGTAGAGACGGGGTCTCACTCTTGCTCAGGTTGGTCTTAAACTCTTGAGCTCAAACGATCTGCCTGCCTCCGCCTCCCAGAGTGCTAGGATTACAGGCGTGAGCTACCACGCCCAGCCAAGAGCAGTGGTTCTTAACCAAGAGTGATGCTCCCCCAAATGTGTGCGGGGCTTTTGCTGTTGCAATGCTCTCGGGGGAAGCGGGCAGTCATCAGAGGAGGCCAGCAGGCTGGGACCGAGACACTAAATGCCCTACAAAAAGCCCTGCACCATGAAAAATTGCCCTGTGCAAAAGCCAGCCGCACGGAGAAACATGGCCACGGCACAGAGGCTCGGAGCTGTCGGCAGCCAGACCCAGGGCGCAGAGAGGCGACACCCTGGGTGCTGGGGGGCTTGCTATGGAACAAAGCACCTCCGACCGAGGCGGGCAACCACATGTCAGGGGCGATCCTGCACAGGTAGGGCACTGGATGTGATGAGTGCTGAGGTCCTTTCTGGCTCTGAGAGTCAACAAGCCTCTAATTCGATTTATAAAGTGTGGCTGACACCCGAGTTCTCGGCAGCGCCTCGATGGTGTGACCCAGGTCTGCCTGCAGCATGCTCTGGGCTGCGGGTCCCTCGGTCGGGCTGGATAATGAGAGCTGAGCACTGACTGCAAATGCCCCTCCCGGTCATTAGCGGGGACACACACAGCGAGAGCAGACAGCGTGACAGGCCCTGTTGTTCCAGGGTCAGCCTGCAGAGAGCTCGGAGAGAGCATCCCCAGCTCTGCAAGGGACGTGCGAGATAATTAACTGGGGGAATCGCCGGTCCTGACCACGTGCTCCTCCTGAGGCTGGCGCGGGGCGGACTGGACAATTCCTTGGTGCCTGGCAGCCTCCAGCACGCCCATTCTGCCACCCCCACCTGGGACGCCAGGCTTCTCGTGGGGCTCCAGTGTGGCCGGCTTGGGCTGGCTCTGTCCCCATCTCAGGGTGGGACTACCGGCCGTGTGGCCTTCCTGAGACCCTCTCAGTCCCTGGTTTTGTTTTTTTTTTTTTGACAGAGTCTCACCCTGTTGCCTGGGCGTTAGCCTGGCTCACAGCAACCTCACACTCCTGGGCTCATGCGATACTCCTGCCTCAGCCTCCCGAGTAGCTGGGATGACAGACATGCACCACCATGCCCGGCTAATATATATATTTTTCTGTATATTTTTAGTCGTCCAGCTAATTTCTTTCTATTTTTTTTCAATAGAGACGGGGTATTGTTCTTGCTCAGGCTGGAGCCCCTGGTTTTTCTGGGCTTGCCCAAGACTCAGGAAAGAGAGAAAGCCCTGAGTTGAGGGTTTCTAACTTTCTGCAGAAGCCTAGGACCTGAAGAGGAAACAGCTGAAGCAACCAAGCAGGCAGGGCGGTGGGTAAACCCAGCGCTCTCGACCTCTGCGTGATGAAAGCCACATCTTAGGGACTGTCATGTCCTGACCACTGTGCAGACGCTCCCGCCCTCAGCCCCGCCACCCCACCCCCACCCCCCGCGGCGCCCCCTCGCTCACCTGTGCGACAGAGGGGGTTTCATGGAGCTCATGGAGTTGAGGGGCGGCTGCATGGGGAGTTTCCCGGGGGGGTCGCTCTGGCGGCTCTTCTGGTGTCGAAGCAGCAGCAGGCGGCCAAGCTCCTCGCACCAGGAGGACAGCAGGGCTGCAAGGGGGGACAGGACGGTCAGCGGGTACCTCGGCTGCCACATGCGGGCCCCTAGCCCACCCTCCTGGACTTGGCCCTGTGGACACTGGCTCTGCTCTCAGAGTGATGCGTGTGGCACAAGGAGACTCACTAAAGCCTTCTTGGGCGGCCTCGGTGTTCCCAACTGTAAAGTGGGACCGACAGCCCTGAAGGAGCGAAAGCTTCCGTAGTCGCTGGGAGAAGATGGGGAGAGGGCCCGTTTTGACGGCCAACACGCTGAGAAGTGCCGGTCGGAGGCGGCGCAGAAGAGAGACCCCAGATGGCGAGACGGGTGGCAGAGACGGTGCCAAGGGGAAAGTGGAGGGGCGAGGGGGCCTGCCACAGACCTTGAGTCGGGCACCACTAGGAGCCGCCTGCCACCGAGACACCCCTGAGTGAAGCCCACCCTCTCAGCCTGTGAACAGTGAGCACTGTGGGGCGTCTCCCCACGGGCGGGCTCAAGAATTGCAAGGTTTGAACGAGATCCACAGACAATCCCAGGGCTGTCTGCAGGGCTCTCCCTGAAACTCCAACCTGGACGCCGCCCCGCTGAGCACACACGCACGGCACGCGCCTTCCCGTCTCACCCACGGATAGTCCCTGCACTGCTGCGCGCAAACGCTTGGAGGACAGAGGACGTCGGGAGCTGAGGGCTGTGGGGTGGGGGGCTAGGAGGGAGACCTCCAGGGCCACCAAATGCAGGGACGTGGAAGAGCCGTCCACCGTTGGGCTTAGAAAGCTGAATGAACTGGGTACTGGGAAAAGTGCCATTTCTTTCATCTCTCACTGTCCCCACGTGGCCACCAGGGGCCAAAAGCACCCTCAAGGTCAGCGTGGCTAGGCCTGGGCTCTGGGCTGGCCAGTCCTTCCAAAGTGCATGAAGCAACCGAGGTTTGAGGGGGATTAGGGAAGGCTGGGCTCAGTCACCATGTTGCTGTGTGACTCAAGAAGCTCAGACACCCTCTCTGGGCCTCAGTTTGCTTGGAGATAAAAAGGAGTAATGTCTCTTGCCCTGCCATCCTCCTGGGCTATGGGAACAAGCACAAAGGGTGATCACACCTTAGCCAATGCCTAATTCCTGCTGCAAGGACTTCAGCCACGCTGACCTGAGGATTCTGGAAGTAGCTGACTGGTCAGAGTGGACCAGCTTCTTTTGAACCAGAATGGCTTGGCCACTGGGCTGCATGCAAAGCCCACTGCCTCCTTTCAAGGGTCCTCCGATCTGGACACGGCACAATAGGCTTCGTGAGATCCAGGACATCGGCTGCTGTCATCCCCATTCTGCAGAAGAGCAGACTGAGGCCCAGGCAGGCAGAGTCACTCGCTCACAGGTCTTGTAGCCAGAGGTGACAGACACAGAGGTAGTGCTCTTGTTCCCAGCCCCACACCCCAGTGGTGGAGCCCCAGGCTGGACAGAAGGTGGAGCGGGAGGTGAAACCCTTCAGAAGGCAGAGCCCCAGGTCGCTGTGGCCTCTTAGCTTTCTGACTCAATAGGGAACCCCTCGGTCCCATTCTGAGTCACCCCCTTCCCTGCGTTCAGCCGGCACCAAGGGAAGACACCCAAAGGCATGATGGGGAGTGGCCGGGCGAGCTGCCAGTTCAAACCGCCCAGATCCTGGACAGGGCTCCCTGTCAGCCCACAGCCCTGGGAGGTCGTGCCAAGGCCGCTGGCTACACTTGCTTGGCTCGTGTGGTGCACAAAGATGCCCAGCCAAGGAGGCAAGCGGGGGCTGTGATCCCTAAGACAGCACCTGTTTCTCCCTCCAGGAGGGGCCAGTGGAAGAGCTAAGTCTTAAAAGACGCATCCTGCCCCTCGGAGGGGCCATCTTGCCCCCACCCTCAAAGGGAGGAGGGTACCAGAGAGGAGAGACCCTCCGCCGGCGTGTGTGTCTGCCCAGAAACTGGCAACGCCCCTACAGCGGGCGTCCAGCACACATCTGCCGCGGCTGGAGGGGGTGGGTAGCCTATTCAGGGAAGCTGGAATGAACAGAAATGGGCTTCCAGATCGCTCCATTCTTCTCCCAGGCCCCTAGTTACCGCCTCTTGCGCGGGGGCACCGGGCATCTGGAAACTCATTTGCACGCCGAGCACGAGGCCTGCCGATCGCTGCAGCGACGGAGGGATTGCTCGCTGCCAGCACAAAGGACGGCCGCAGATGGTGCCGCCTGCTGCCCGCCCCACCCCTTCCAGCCCTCGTGCCTCCTGGGGGCCAGCCATGCCATGTGGGGGGGGGGCACGGGGGCGGGTGCCACGGGGGAGTCAGGGCTTTCCTCCAATGTTACAGGACACCCCCTGCTTGGCCAAGGACAGCTCTCGTCCTCCTACCCCTCGTGGAGTGGCTTCTGCAAAGGGAATGAATTCAGGCTGGCTGTGTGGCCGGCCTGGCTGTGCGGGCTGGCACGCCATATGCGGACTGGGCAGCTGTGAAGGCCACAGCCCCACGACCGAGAAGGAAAGGAGGGGAAGGCTCCACCCCTGACCCCCGGAGGGCAGTGAGCACAAAGGCCGTGCTGGTAGTCCCAACTTGGTGCCACGCGTGGCAGCGGGCTGCGTGTTATCCTTATGGTGCAAAGCAACACGAGCTGTTCTGAGGCAAACACCGGTTAATGACAACACATGGGGGTTTGCAGCCAAAAAGGGAGTCTGGGCACCGCCAGAGAACCAGGAGGGCGGGAGACAGACAGGGCCAGGCGGGGTATTATGCAAGGACAGAGTGATACCAGCTGGGCGGGTGTCTAGGCGTGTGCCGAGACCTCGGCCGTCACGCACACGTCTGCGCCGGGGGCCCGCCTGCTCTGATCAGGCGGGTGCGGCCTGCACGCCTCTTTGACCTGCGTGCCTTTGGCTAGTGCACTCGCTGGGACGGGGCACAAGCAGGGCAGAGTGGGAGGGACAGGTGCCCCTGGTGTGCTGTGCGCAGTGTACCTGCTGCGGCAGGGCCGTTTCAGTCCTAACCTGAGCCCCTCTCTGCCGCAGCCAAGGTCAAGAGGGCCCCTCCACCTCCTGGGCAGCCAGTGTGGCCAGCCCTCCTCTTGTCCTGTGAGCCCCACTCCCTGGAGGTAACAGGGCTGGCCCTGAAGGCCCCTTTCACACGGAGAGCCCCAATCTGCAAATTAAAATAGCAGCTGGGATCCCGAGGCCCTTTGCCCCTTTACCAAGTGCAGCTCGCCTGGCCCCAGGACAGCCCCGGGCAGTGCACGTGGCTGCCCCTCCTCGCCCACCCTGTGCTCCTGCGGCCGGAGCCCCACGTACACCTCACCTGCACAGCTGTCAACAGATGCCACTCAGACCCTTGCCTGTCCGCAGTGAGATACACCAAAGCCCGCCGACAGGTGTGGAGAGGAACCTTGGTGCCGCCGTATGTCCTTTTTAGAGCCCTCCCAATCTAGGCTCAGCCACAGAAAGTAGGGTAGGGGGCAGGCCGGGGCCTGTGGGGTTGGCCCATGGGAGGCCGGATGGGACCACCCCTCCTAAGGCTGACAGCATGGCTATGGCCACACCCACTGCCCCTCTGCCCCAGAAAGACCTCTGATGGGCCCTGGCCTTCCTGGAGGAGAAAGAGAGGCAGACCCAGCTGCAGACTCATCTCTCAGTGCAGGGCCCGGGGTGGCCCCAAAGCAATCCCCTCTGCCTCCTCACCGGCAGGTGCTGGGCAGGTGCAGAGGCACCCAGGGAACTGGGCTTTCAGGCCAGCAGGGAGTCCAAGGGCTGTGCTGGCGGTGGAGGGGATACCTCAGACCCCAACTGCTACCTCTGAGCCTTAACCCACATTTGCACGGACTCCTCCAACTTCTCAGCACAGTGTATGTGCACGCACAACCCAGCTCGTCTTAAATGAACTCTTCAACAGTCATTCAACAAACAGCTGCAGAGTACCTACTGTGTGCTGGAGTTCCCACGGTGATGTGGGTAGGTCAGCATCCCTGCCAAAACCCCGCACGGCTCCCACTGCTGAGTCCGAACCACTCAGGACCGACCAGCTGCCTGGTAGCCTGGGCTCGCCTGTCCTGACCCGAGGGGGCAGCTGCCACCCTGTGGTTCAGGACAAGGGACCCTGAAAGTCTGTGCTTGACACCTGGTTCCACCCTCCATGGCTACGTCACCTTGGCCAAATTAACCTCTCCGGGCCTTAGTTTCTTTATCTATACAACAGGCATAATATTAATGCTTACTCCTTAGGATTACGTTTAAATGACACTAACGCCTATAAGGTGTGTGTAAGTGCCTGGCGTGTAGTTAGCGTGAAGCCTGTGTGAGCAGTGTGTGTCTCAGGAGTGCAGGCAGGACACCTGCAGCAGCGCTCTGCTCAGGGCAGGCAGGACAGGGCCTCACAGACAGGAGGTGGTCTCTCACTTGTGAGCCTCAGGCCACCTCTCCACCCGCCAGCCCCACAGGGCACCACACAATGTCACGCCTCTTTCCCCATAGACCGTGCACTTCTTCACATCCCCACGGGGCTTCCTCCAGGTTCCCATCTGTGAAATGGGTTTCCCAGGAGCTGCCTGCTGCATAGAGTGGGTGCGAGGTGTAAATTAGTACTGTCGATCAACCCCAGGGTTTTCTGAGTAGGAGCCGGAAAGTGGGATGGGAGGGTGGGTGGGGAGAGGGCAGAGGCTCAGGACCCTGTAACCCACACCAGCCACAGAAAAGCAGCCCCTACACAATCCCACACCCACCACTGCGTCACATAACACTGGGAGGGCTGGGGAGGCACAGACTGGGACCAACCTGTGCAAGGCCTGATCCCAGCTCTGTCTCTGCTACCGTGGGACACCCTGAGCGAGTGACTCAACCCTCCTGGCTTCAGTGGCCTCGTCTCCTGGGGCAGTTGCAAGGATGAACCGAGTTGCCACCACGAAGCACAGGACGGCGCCAGGCACAGCCAACGCTGTGCGCGTGCTCGCTACTTGACGATTAGTGTCTTCGACCTTGGTTGGTAGAGGGGCGACCGGCAGGATGGTTACGGGGCCTTGCTGTCC